GAATACAGTATTACATAAGCGTAAGCAATATCTACTGACATACAAATGACAGGAAACTTGTACGTGTTGAATGTTAGATTTTCCTTTCCTTTATGAACCCATATCCATCTCATCTTAAGTATGGAGTTTCCATGCCAAAAGAAATTACTCTAATCTAATTATTCATGTAAATTTCACCTTCTAATCAAATTACATAAATACGTACAGATACACATTCCAATTTTAATATTAAACATAAGAACCTAAAATAAAAATTCATCAAACATTCCAATTACTTTAAAACATTATACTTGTAATACTGTAAAAAATAAAAGAATCAACAAAAAATATTGTACAAGCTAAGAGAAAAATTGTCCACTTTGCTCTTGGAAATTCATTTGCAATTTAAGTACGGTATAGCTGAGCGTATAATTTTATTAAAGTACCATCGTAGTTGAAGCCACGGGGTAAATTATATGAACGTTTTAACAAATAGCTTTTTCTTCTTCTTATTCTTTCATCCGTGTAAATAGTTAACTTTTCTCTTTCCCCTTCTCATCCATGTTTTTCTTTATCTTCTTTACTTTTATTATACTTGAAGTTATCGTGACTACAAATCGTTATCTTCCAGGTCAGTCATCGTAGTGGTTGGTGTTGCTAATGGTATAGAGAAATGTTAGAATGTAAGGTGTTATGTGAAATTATTCCTTTACGTGTATGCAACTTTGGAGCGTGCGTCTTTTGGATCAATGAATCGTAGAAATTAATCGAAAGTTCAATTCAACAATCGCGTGTTTATGGTCGTTTATTGAGGCGCCAAGTAAACGACCATTCTGAATATTACCGATTATTATCATCATAATCATCATCAACGTTCACCGATGCATTATTATTCTCCGAAAATGTCAGTTTTCCCTACGAATAATATTAATAATAATAATAATAATAATAATAATAATAATAATAATAATAATAATAAACAGTAGAGGAAAATAATATTTTAATTAACGTTCCTCGATGTTATATAAATTAATCGAATATACGATCAACCTGTTTAAGGTGAAACCAGGTTAAGCAGAACTTCCGATGAATTAACAACGAAAAATGAAGGTTTTAACTTTTCGTTAATGTAAAAAACGTGCGTGTTGTTAGAAAGAAGGATATAGAAAAGAGATATATAGTTTAACAGGAATAAGGGTGAGGAGGGAGGGGGGGGGAAAGGGTTAACGGAATAAAAGCTGTAATAGTGAAAACAGGGGAGGGGGATTCAGAGAAGAGTGAATAAAAGGGTGGGAGAAGATGAGTCGAGTTTCCACGTACCACGTCGGACGCTCTTAAGGGATTTAAACAGGGTTTTAAGTATACAATGATGATTTCGTGCGCGGTTAAACCAACACGTAACTTTTTCATTCTACCTCTTCGTTACTTGCTACTTACTCGTTTCAACTTGTACGTACCTGCTAGGTACATTATTCATTCGAACGTGCGGAAATGTAGGTACATGGGAAAACAAGCGTACCTCTACGTGGATTTAAATTTGTTCATTAATTAATCTTACCTGCGCAAATTGGATTTATCTGAACAAAAAAAAAAGAAAAATAATTAAATAATATGGATACGACGATCGATGTTTCTCTCCGATCGCAACGTTTCCTTTTTTTTTTCGTTTATGTTATTTTTTAGATCGATGCCTTCGACAAGAAGAAAAAAAAAAAAGAAAAAAGAAATAATTCGTACGCGTTCAGGAAGTCCCACCATCATCCTCTTGGTTTATATCGTAAACACGCTCGTTATATTTTAATTCGTATTTAATTTGTGATATTAATAATAACACGACTAATATATTATAAAGAATATTTATTTCGAGAAGAAAAATTATTTATTTATACAATAAGAAGATGATCGTTAATAAGATTTAATATTGTTGAGAGTTAAAAATAATTGCGATAATAGTTCATTGATAAATTAACAATTTACTCCAACACTTTCAATTTCTTTCGATTTAATATCGTCAAAATCTAAATATGTTTATTATTACATTTTAATCGAAATAATTTAGAAACAATTAACCCGACAGACAAAATAACTATCACACAGATAATTAAATTTATTATGATAAAACAAAAGAAATTATTAATACCGTTTAACATATTATGAATGGTGTTTATCGACGTCGATGGAAGAGACAAAAAAAACACATAGGATACCGATTTAACCTTTAACGAGAAATATGTAATAAGAATATATAGAAAAGGGTTGGCGTGAAATAAATTTATGTTTTCCCCTTCCCCCACACCCCTAGAATTTTAGTTTAAACCATAGACACGCGTAAATATGCTGATTACGTTTTAATCCAAATTTATGATATCGTAAAGGAAATTTTCGGAAAAGCTTTTTCCAATTTCCCCGGAGGCTTTTTTTTACCCCCTCTCTTCCTCCCACCTTACTCTACCACCCCCCGTAAGCAGACGCGAAAAGAAATCTCTTTTCGAGGACGCGAAGACTTCCCCCAGAGGAGAACGGAAATGAGTGGGGGAAAAGAACGGGGGTCGCAACGGTATAAGGGTTGTGGGAGGGGTTGTTAGAGTATGAAAAAGAAAAGAAAGAGAAAGGGGGAGAGAGAGAGAGAGAGAGAGAGAGAGAGTTGGTGGAAAAATGCAAATAGAGAAGAAAACGTTTCGAACGTTTAACGCTAACGTTGAATAATGAAACATCAAGCTCTTGGCGATTTTTCTTTTACCCTTTTTTGCTTCTTTTTTTCATTTTTTTTTAACCTTCGTGTTTTACCTTTTCCATTTCTATCCTTTTCTTTTTTTTGCTCTCTCTTTTTTGTTCTTTTCCTTTCCGTCTCCTTGCTTCTTTTTTTTCTTTCTTTCTTTCTTTTTTCAGTCTTTTCTCGAGTTCTTAATCAGCGGCACGATTTGCTCGAAAGTAAAAGGTAAAAGAAAGGAAAAAAAAAAACAGGTGGAGGATGGGGCGAGTGGTTGGGGGGGGGGGTGGTCTAGCAAAACGGTACCGTGCTCGTTTTCACATTTTTTTCTTGGAGACTTCGGTCTTTGCTATAAGAAACCAAAAACAAGAAAAAATAAGAAGAAAAATTCGTAGGGCAGAGAAGCGTTAGTATATATTTGTATATATGTATATATATATATATATATTCCGTTGTAAGGTATTAGTGGCAGCACGGCATTGGCAGGAAAAACTAGCATGGTACCTAACCAAAGTACCATACTGCGAATCCTTTCCCCGGGAGAGTTTATCTTCGGTGCTTTTAATTTCAGGTAGACCGGGCTCTTTACTACCACGAGAGGCATAATTATCGCGAAGGTTGGGGGACTGAATATTTCAGTTTTCTCTCTCTTCTCTCTCTCCTCTTTCTCTCTTTCTTTCTATCTTTCTTTCTTTTACATTCTTTTTACTCTTTAGTTTTTCCTCCTACGGCAAGCTTCTCTCCATGCTCGATTCCTTTCGAAGATACAAACGAGCTAAGATAAAAAGAAGGGTGAGTTGCCAATGAGAGAGAGAGAGAGAGAGAGACAAAGAGAGGGGGTGAGAAAAGAAGGTAGATGAATAGAGGCGATGACGAGGAAAAAAGAAAAGATAAGAAAAAAGAACAAAAAAGGAAAGAAAGATAAAAAAAAAAGGAAGCGTAATAGCGAACGAAGGTGGCTTGTTCGTTCGAGAAACTCCAACCGAGGGATTAGGAAGGAAAGTAATGTCAGGCATTTTGCGGACAGATTTGCATAAGTTCCCTTCCACCTACCATACTTCTCACGCTTCTCCGTATTTCTAATCATCCCTCTTAACACCCACCTACACCCCCGCACCCCCTATACCCTCCCCCAATCTCCATCGTTCCTCCTCCTTCTCCTCCTACTAAATTCTTCTTCGAAGAATACAAACGCGGTTCTTAAATTTGATTTCAATTGCTTTTATTTTCCTATCTTTTCCAGAGGTGAAAAGCTTTTCGAATGATTAGATCATTAGCGAGTCAATCATTCGATGAAATTTCGATCAGGGGATTGTATTATTATCATTATCCGTTAAAATCTTCACTTTCTCGAATCTAAATCCTCCAACGTCGAATCTTGTTAATGGTTGTATATTATCAACGGTATATTATTTACGTTATATACGTCATTATTTAGGAGGTAAATCCGATTTTACATTAACATGCACAATCGCTGTGTTTAGTACGATGATAATTATTAGTATTATTTATTCATAGTCGGTTTATATAGTATAAGTACTGTTTTCGTTTGATAATATGTTCGCGTGCACATTAATCAGTTACTATTGAAAATATTCAACAACAATTTTATGATCTATTTTATGGTTTTCGTATGTTTGATTGTTTGTCAAGTAATTACTACGGTCATTGTAATAATATTCGTTTCGATAAATATTTTGCTAATTTATTTCAATCATTTTTATGTTATAATATTGCATATTAAAAATTAATAAATGAATTGTTGAAAAACCTAAATAATCTGGATGATTTGTATACGCTAAGTCACAAAGTTAGTAGTCATAACGTTTGAATATTTTGTGGAGTCCCTGTATATCTACGAGAACAAATTCAATAGGGAAGAAATCAACTGTTTTGCATAACCTGTGGGTCTACTATCCTAGACTCAATTTTCTATCTAACATAAGTTACTATCTCTATCTATCTTTCTTATATGAAACTTTAAGAAATTTAACCGTGAAACCAATTTGCAGTTACCGACATTTACAAAATAATCACATAGTTCAAATGAATCAATACTTATTACACGAATTGGTATTAAAAATATCATAGATTTTTAATTAAAATATATAATTGTATATAAAATAATGAAAAATAATTTGTGTGTGTAAACTTGTAAACATGTTAGTAAAAGATTACGTTTCATTTGTTCTTTTTTTTCCTAAATATTTCGATTTAATTTTCACATGTGTTTCTATTCATTCATATTCGAATGTCAGTTTATTATACTACACGGATACTAACGGAACTATTTTAATCATCGATTTTCCAGGATGTCCCGTAATCAAAGTGGATGGTCGGAAGAGGCAGGAAGTTCTGATGGTATTCAACGACGAACTGGAACGAGACAGACGATTGGTACAACTCAATCCTTAAAAACTAATAGTGCTGTATTAGAAGACAGGACATCTTCCAGTCAAACCTGTAAAGGTGGATTCAGATTAGGCATCTACGGTTGGAGGAAAAAGTGTTTATATTCTTTGGTCCTCTCTCTGATGATCATCGTCATCGTAAACCTTGCTATTACTGTCTGGTTACTCAAAGTTATGGGATTTACTTCGGTGAGTATTTGATAATTATAAGCTCACACATTCCGATTCTAATCGAAGACTATTATTTTCTTTCGCATACGTTACCACAAAAAATCATTCTTCTTCTTTCTCCTCCCGGCCCCCTAACCAAAAACAAACAAATCTACAATAAATTAAAGTATCGTGTGTAAAATAGTGTGAAACGAGTGTACGTAATTATATTTAAAAAAACACACAAATTTTCCCCCGAGATCGATGTTTCAAACCTCGATAAAAGTGTCTTCCTTTTGTTTTCAAAGAGCAAAAAAAGGTGGCAGACGAAAGAGGAGGAGAAGAAGAAAAAATATAAAAACGAGGGGTGAAATAAAAGGTGGTGGTTGAAGTATTCAATTCATAAAAAGCAATCGCAATCACACTCGAGAAGATCAAGCATGCATGCATGCGCGTATAATATCCTTTGTTCGATAACGAATCTTAATTTTTGATTTTCGACGTGGCCGTTGCATTCTCAGTCGTGATCGGTGCGAACGAGGATTCTCCCATTGTGTTTCAACCACTCGAACTTTGCACGTACGTACGTACGTACCAACCTACCAGCTACCAGCTACTATACAGCTACAGTTACCGATTCGATTCTTTCTACGTGCACACTTTTTCCCATGAACGAATTTCGAGTATTGTTATCAACCGTTGTATATGTCCCGGAATACCGTCCTATAAATGCAGATTCCTCGAGGTTCAACTAACGTCTCTTTTCAATTTGCATTTCAACCGAAAATTTCAACGTTTGTTTCCTACACACAACTACGCGAACGGTGATATTTTTTTTTTATTCCTGCCCCCTTTCCTTCCTTCCCTTTTTTTTCTTCTTTCTCTTCTCTCTCTCCCCGATCTAGATTTTCTTTTTTCTTTTTCTTTTTTTCAAGGCGCGTTTCGGTTGAAAATCGTCTCGACAAGTGTTACGCATGGCGAACCAACATTGGCAATCGTTCGTTCGTTCGTTCGTTTGGATTTTTTTTTTCTATTGACGTAGGAAAAAATGAAAGAAAATAAGGAAGAGAGAATGATTAGAGAAAGAAGAAACAGGGCAGAAGGGGTGTGGCGTCGTGTTAGGTCAAAAGATCCAACGGTCGTTAACAGGTTTGAATATAATTTTCGTTTTAATTGCCGGAAACGTCGGGGCATATCGGCACGCAGAGAAAATCGTCTCTTTTCACATTTATTATTCCTTTTTTTTTTTTTCATTTTCTTTTTCATTTTCTTGTACTTTTTCTTTTTCTTGTTATTTTTTTTTTGTTCTTCTTATTCCTCAACTCTACCTACGTGGGCTTTAATTCGAGCAATCATAATTAACCGACCCTTCTCAGTCGAGACTCGTAATTCTCTGGGGTGGTGCTAAAGTAAACGCGTTTAAACTACTGCGAAAAGCATGAAATATTCTTACGCTCTATACTTGAGAATAATTATTTCTTTAAACATTACATTTTTCTTTTTTTTTTTTTCTTTTCTTTTTTTTCTTTTTATTTTTCTTATACATCTACTATATAACTTATATTAATTTATTTCCTCGTATTTTCTCTCGATCATTCGTGATTTTATAAACGCGTTGCTTACAACTTTACTATAATATATTACTTAATTATTTTTTATTATTTTTATTATTATTATTTTCAATAGAAAAAACGTAGAGTAACGCATGAATTTAGCCACGCAGAAAAACATTGATATTATTTTATAATAAATTAAGAAATTTGTGTATGAAATAAAAATGAAAAGGAGAACGTGACGTTTGCAAAAGGATTTTGAAAGGAATCGTTTGATAGAAAATTGACGTCTCGATGTGTGAAATATTTGAACGGTGTTATAAAATATAAGAGAAATCAAGATAATTCAAGATTGCGAGAGTAACGTAAAAGAAAACTCGGAAAATTCAGGCTCGTGTGAGAAATGTTTTCGAAAAATATAGGTTGGGGAAAGATAAGTGGAGAAAGAAGAGTAGAAAAAAGAAACTGGAAAAAGAGAGAGAAAGAGAGAGAGTGAGGGGGGAAGGGGGAAGCTTACATTTCCCATGGGATATACTTGGCTGCTCGTAGACTTCTTACTTACGGATTGATACTCAATTTTCAACGAATTTAGCTACCATCGAAGGATCATTGCGCCGAATCGCGAAAGTTTCTTTCGATTTCGAATAAATTCGATAATGGGACGGTACTTTTCGAGAAAATCAATGAATTGCGCTGCGTTAGAGATAAGAAAAATATCAAAATAATTATATCTTATCTTTTTTATTTTCCTTTTACTTTCAATTCGATCAAATTTTGTAGCACGATTAAATTCAACTTAAATTCATACAAAAGAAACAATAAAAGTAGAAAAAAGGATTGTTGTACAATCTTATTATTTATCTTTTATTTATTTCTAATCGTAATATATCGATCACTATAAATTTTCTATCGTTTCGATTAGTAGTATCGTTAATTTTACATCCTTCAACAACAACCAACACCATAATTATCAAAAAATCAATAACCAAAATTACAAATAAAACATATTCGTAAATACCATAGTTGAATAAAATTCATAATTATCGGTGCTAAAAAATTGTTGGAAATAAAATGTCGCTCTTTTTATTACTTTTATTGCTTTTCGTTTGCAAAAACATGCCTCTAGTTTACAGTTTACTATAGTATAGTATAGTATATATATAGTCGAATAGTCCCATCTTAAGCAAGGTATCTTTCTTGGTCGCGTGAAAAGAATAAAAAGGTAGAATAAGAAGAAGAAAAAGATGAAGGGGGTGTAGGAGGGTGGAGTATAAAGAGAAAAGAAAAAAAGAATAAAGAAAAAAAAGAAAAAATAAAATAAAAAAGAAGAAGAAGAAGGGAAGGGAAGGGAAGGAGTAGGTTGAGGAGTAGGGTGGTGGAGGGGGTTGTAGGAGGTTGGAATGCATTCCGCGAGCCAGCAAATATTTTATGTCGTCCGTGCTTCTCTTCGCCTTCATCCACCATTCTTTTCCATCCATTCATATTTGATGAGTGTCTCGTCCTCCCTTCTTTCTTTCTTTTTTTTTTTTTATTCTTCTTTTTTTTCTTCTTCTTCTTCTTCTTCTTTTTCCACCGACCTATCTCACCCTTTACTATTCTATACCATTCTATCTTCGAAGCTTCCTTTACTCCTCCCCCCCTCCAACCCTTCCCATCCCTTATTCTTGCTTTATCTATCTTTCTTCTTCCTGTCTCTCTCTCTCTCTCTCTTCTTTCAACCCCCTGCGTTACTTCAAACTCGCTTGGAGCAATATCTCGACGAAATTAAATCATTTTCTCGATTAAAGGATCGCCCTATGATGGCATTAATTAAAACCATAGTAGAAGGGTATTCGTTATTAAAGACCGTAGCATTCTCCGCGTATCACATGACTATAATAATATCAACGAACGATCAAATGAATCTTATGGATAATCGATGTTTTTATCTCACAACGCGCGTGTATAGCTAAATGATAGTTTTTTAATATTATAAAATGCGATTGGAAAATAAATCATCGTTGATTTTTTTTTTTCATTTACAAAAGTTCTTACAAATGTATAATAAATATGGTGTTCGAGAGATTCATTTTTTACTCATTAGATGTAAAAATGAACACAAAAATTTCTAATATTGTATAATACTTAAATGTTAATTTTCAATAATTCAAAAATTTTTTTCAATTACTCTATATCTATTGACACAATTTAATATAATAAATAATTAATAATTATTTTTTTGTTGAATATAAAAACTATATAAGAAACTCTCATAGACAAGAACTTGATTGTTTTATGGAGTATAGTTTACGTAGTATGGTCAAGCCATACAACCCCACGCATACGGGCAATAATTTTCTACAAGTATTATAATATATGCATACTAACGCAAGTTCTCATACTGTCTCTCTCTTTCCTTCTTGTACAAATGTACGGCAGGTATGGTATTAAAGGATATCCATTATAACACCTAGCCACCAAGTGCGAGCGTAATATAGCACGTACGGGTCCATGAATTTTGAGCATATAGTAAGCAGTATAGTGATAGTAGCTTAGTACATATAGGCCCCTTTCCTTCACACTCTTCCTCACCCTTTCTCACCCTCTCTCACCCTTTCTCACTCTCTCTCTCTTGTTCATGCTCGTTTTCCGAGACACGAAGAAAGTCAAGTTTATTGTTTCCAGCGAGATTATATCTAGCAGGATTGGACGTACATATATAGAACCAGGGTTCGGTTGTTTCTCTTAAACCACATTTTCATCTAACACCAACAGCTAAGATTTACTATAACGATTTAATAAGAAAAATCTTCTTCTTTTATTTTTGTTTTTTTTTAACCCTTTTCTATATACGACTTTTTTATTACTTTTTTATTACTTTTTTATTTTATTAAACTTTTTTTTTTCATTTTCTCATACTTAACTTAACACTTTTCTGTACGTTAACGGCACGTGGTTTTTGTTTTTTTGTTTTTATTCCAAATTGGTCAACCCCATCCATTTATTAACCGTGACACATCCCCAGCTTAACTTTAAACTAAATCTCATTATTATATATATATATATATATATATATAACAAATATTTACCCATACAATCTCTAATGTTATATATTTTGTTGGTATTTAATTGTAAAATAACTTCGGTTGCATTTGTGTTGCATTGGGTTAATTCTCGCTTTTTAGCCTTTTCACTTTTACGGCTGTAATTAAGCAACCGACGTGAAAAATACAAAACTCGCGCGTAAGGGGGAAGAAAAAAAAGAAAAGTTCCCTTTTTTTTTTTTTTTTGTTTACCTACCACCATCACCATCATCACTAACACCATTAACACCACCACCACCAATACTATCATCGTCATTCGTCGTTTTGAGTTAACGCGAGATAGAAGATGGTAAAAAGTAATTAGAGAACGAAACGTACGATAAATTATTGTCCCATGAACGGACGAGAGTGGCAATACGAAGGATAAAGTTAGGAGTTGGATGAGATGACGTATAGAAAAAAA